CTCGCGGCTCGCACCGAAACAGTGCTTTACCCCTAGATGTCCAGTCAACTGTTGCGCCTCAACATATTTTGGGGAGATCAAGTTAGCTCTGTGTTCGAGTGGCATTTCACCCCTACAACTCATCCACTGATTCCTCAACATCAGTCGATTCGGACCTCCATTTAGTTTCACCCAAGCTTCATCCTGGTCATTGATAGATTACCCGGGTCGATTGTAATCTATTTTATTATACTATATAGTGTTCAATAAGGACTTCATACCAACTAACGGGAATAATCGAGCTACTTTTCCCAGAAGGGAAAGGATAATCGAGCAAGAATACATTGAAAGTGATATGGAAGGAAAAGGAGGATCGTCCGGATTCTAATTTTCAAACAAGTTACCCTTAATTTAAAAAAAAAAAAAATATATATATATATATATAATAACACGTTTATATATTTATTTTAATTTTATTTAATGTCATAATTATTTTTTTGAATATTTATTCTCAACCCAACCTTAAAAATATGGTTCGAATATATTATTTTAAAAAATATATGATATAATTGTATTACAAATTTTAATTTAATATTTATAAATAAATAAATAGGAACTTTTATTAAAAATAAAAAAAATTTAAAAAATAACTCCGACGTGAACTAACTCAATCGAAATATTGATTATTTAATAAAGGTTATTTGAGTTAAAAAAATATATTATAAATAAAATAATCGAGTTAGTTCAACAAATATTTTTATATTATATAAAAGTTTTTTTTTATTATTTATATAATTAGTATTTTATTAAACGTGTAATTTGTATGGGCTTTCTTATAATTTTCAGTATTTAAGGCCCATTTTAATTGATTGGGCTGGGCCATGTAATTTTGAGTGGCTTATAAGGTAATTTTATTAAAGGAAAATATGAGAAAATTTTATAAGAATTTAAACTCATTTTAATAAAGTTCGGGTTGGTTAGATTTAGGTTAGGTTAGGTTAAAGCCATGAGACCAATAGGGAGAGGAGTCAACTCTAGCGAATCTCACATTGGTTGGGTTTGGGTTGGGGGATTTTTTTGACCCAACCCAAAAGTTCGGTTGGTTGGATTGGTACCCAACCCGAAACTTTTCACAACCCAACGCTCTATTTTTGTGTTGGGTTCGGGTTGGGTCTCTATTTTCGTATTGGGTTTGGGTTGGGTCCGAGTTGAGTCGTAAAAAAAAAATTATAGGGTTGGGTTGGAGTTGAGTTGTCAAAAAAAAATTATAAAGTTTTATTTATCCACAATTTGTAATTATTCGGATACAATCTTAGATAAAATATATTAAAAGTTTATTAACAAACACAAATCAATTTCTAATTATTGACCTAAAAAACAAAAACAAAAAAATAAAAAATAACTAGTGAAAATTGTAACTTATGAATATAAACATTATCATAAAACTAAAAACAACTAATTAAATTAAAAAACAAAATAGAATCCTAATATATTTTATATATTTTTATTTAGCTCGAGTCAACCCAAAGGTTTTACCCATAAACCTGAATCTAAACGGATTCAGTTTGGGTTCAGAAAAATGAACTCAACCCTACCTGAAATGCTAATCCAACCCAACCCAACCCAACCCTTATAGTTCGGGTTGGGTTGGTCCGGGTTGTCGGGTTGAATGTACACCCCTAATGGAAACCTTTTCCTAGTAGATGCGTTTTAAAGCCTTGAGCGGAAGCTCGAAAGAGAAGACCCAAAGAGGACAATATCGGCTAGTGGTGGACTTGGGCTTGAGCCGTTACAAATGGTATCAGAGCCAGACACTAGACTATGTGCCAACGAGGAGGCTCTTCCCCGAAAGGGGGTAGACACGAGACGGTGTGCGAGTAAGGACGCTGGGCCCCGAAAGGAGTGGATTTGGTAGGGGCCCCACATCGATTGGAGAAAAGAACGAGTGCCAGCGAGGACATGGTGTGCCAATAGTGGCTGTTTTCCCTTTACTGTTCTCGTAAATTTTATTTTGCTCTTTGTTGTTTAGACGTGGCTGTTCGGTGAAGGTGGTTGCACACTAGGTAAAGATAAAAGGGGTGTGTCGACTCGTCCATGAGTGCGATTCAGGTGGTAGATATAAAACACCATTGACCGAACCGTGAATATATATGTGTCTTCAAGTGTTTTAGTCAAACGTGTATCGAAAGAAAGAAACTCGAGAATTTTTCCTTTTATCGGATAACTTAAATCGAAAGCAAAACGTTTGAATTGTGTCAAAACAAAAACTTGAGAATGAAGAAACTCAGTTTAGTCAACCACTTTTGTTATCCGTCTAAGCAAAGATTAGCATATTCGTTTATTATTGAAAAGACATGTAATCCGATTTTATCTAATCACTCAGTTATCCGGTTTTGTCATTCTAATATATAATAATTTATTTATAAAATAAATTATCATATATATATATATATATTTATTTATTTATTTAAAGTACGAAAAATGATATTATATTATAATTAATGAATAAGTGAAATAAAATTAATGAACTTTAAGTTTAAAAATAATTTACAATAAAAATAAAATAATTATTTTTTAAAAATATCTTTAAGACATGTAACATGCTCTTACCTTATCCAACAAGATCCACGTCACGTTTCAAAAGGCATTTTAGTGCCGTCGGAATATATATATATATATATTTTATTGTTTGGTCAACTGCATAACTTTTAAACTAAATTATTAAAACAATATTTTTACTTTAAATTGTGTTCGGGTCTGAGAGTGTTCATATGATTTGATAATCAGATCAATCTAAACTATCTAACTGAAACCATAAAAATTGGATCGGGTTAGATTTTTTTTCAAATTGGGTTGGCTTGATTTTTTTCAAAATAAAAAATTCAGTTCGGTTCGTAAGTTGACATAAAACTAGGGTTTTAACCCGTTAGTTGAACACGACTCTCCACAATTGTATGAAATGGTCGGGTCTGAGAGTGTTCATACGATTTGATAATCCGATCAATCTAAACTACCTAACTCAAACCATAAAAATTGGATCGGGTTAGTTTTTTTTAGATTGGGTTGAATTTTTTCAAAATAGAACATTTAGTTCGGTTCGTAAGTTGATATAAAACTAGGGTTTCTATCTGTTAGTTGAACACGACTCTCCACGATAATATGATATTATTCACTTTGAGCATAAGCACTCGTAGCTTTGCTCTGGCTTTTCCAAGAGGTCTCATACCACTGAAGATAATATTTTTTTTATTATAAACTCATGATCATTCCTTAAATTAGCCGATGTGGGACTTTCATCTAACACAATCCAATCTAACCGTACTCTACTTTTTAAAATATTAAAAATATTTAATATTTATAACCGTAATTAGTGATATGTTATAACTCCGTAAACATTTTATATTTAAGTTTTATCATATTTTAATTATTAATATAAGGATAAGTATGATTTTTTTAAATAATTTAAATTAAAAAAATATATATAATTTAATGGCAAATAACTTATAAATATTGGATGATGAAAGTCCCGCCAATTTAGGGAATGATTATGGATTTATAAAGAAAGAATACTCTCTCCTTTAGAATGAGGCATTTTGGGGAAGCCCAAAGCAAAACCCCGAGAGCTTATGCTCAAAGTGGACAATATCATACCATTGTGGAGAGTCGTGTTCGTCTAACATGATATCATACCGAGAGCTTAGTCGTGTGCCAATAGTTGGTAAATCCTCAAATGTCGAACAAAGAACTCCAAAAGATAAATGAGTCAAGCCGGTAAAAAATGACTAAAACTCCAAAGGAGTTAAGCCTCGATTAAGGGGAGACATGCTTTGTTCGAGGGGAGATGTTGGATGATAAAAGTCCCACATCGGCTAATTTAGGGATCGGGGAGACGTGCTTTGTTCGAGGGGAGGTGTTGGATGATGAAAGTCTCACATCGGCTAATTTAGGGATCGGGGAGACGTGCTTTGTTCGAGGGGAGGTGTTGGATGATGAAAGTCCCACATCGGCTAGTTTAGGGATCGGGGAGACGTGCTTTGTTCGAGAGGAGGTGTTGGATGATGAAAGTCCCACATCGGCTAGTTTAGGGATCGGGGAGACGTGCTTTGTTCGAGGGGAGGTGTTGGATGATGAAAGTCCCACATCGGCTAGTTTAGGGATCGGGGAGACGTGCTTTGTTCGAGGGGAGGTGTTGGATGATGAAAGTCCCACATCGGCTAAATTAGGGATCGGGGAGATGTGCTTTGTTCGAGGGGAGGTGTTGGATGATGAAAGTCCCACATCGGCTAGTTTAAGGATCGGGGAGATGTGCTTTGTTCGAGGGGAGGTGTTGGATGATGAAAGTCCCACATTGGCTAGTTTAGGGATCGGGGAGACGTGCTTTGTTTGAGGGGAGGTGTTGGATGATGAAAGTCCCACATCGGCTAATTTAGGGATCGGGGAGACGTGCTTTGTTCGAGGGGAGGTGTTGGATGATGAAAGTCCCACATCGGCTAAATTAGGGATCGGGGAGATGTGCTTTGTTCGAGGGGAGGTGTTGGATGATGAAAGTCCCACATCGGCTAGTTTAGGGATCAGGAAGACGTGCTTTGTTCGAGGGGAGGTGTTGGATGATGAAAGTCCCACATCGGTTAGTTTAGAGATCGGGGTGACGTGCTTTGTTCGAGGGGAGGTGTTGGATGATGAAATTCCCACATCGGCTAATTTAGGGATCGGGGAGACGTGCTTTGTTCGAGGGGGAAGTGTTGGATGATGAAAGTCCCACGTCGGCTAATTCAGGGATCCTCTGAGCTTATTCTCATAGGACAATATCACACCATTGTGGAGAGTTGTGTTCGTCTAAGAATAAATTTAAATAATAATATTAAATATTATTTAACTAAAAAAAAAAAGGAAATAAAGTCAAGTAAAGTCAAATCAGGAGTAAAAAAATGGTTAAAGAAATATAATACAATCAACGTGGGGCCGGTTAGATGTAAAACTGAAACAGAAAAAAATGCTTTTCTTTTCTTGTTTAGGACGGCGGCTGGAAGTCGCTGAGTGGCGTCAAACGACGACAAAAAAGTTTGGTGAGCAACAAAATCGTTTAAAATCACTCGGAATTTGTGAAATCTTCATCCATTTCGGCTCCAATTTGAAGAACAAGAGGAAGCAGACGAACAGAAGAGGCCTAGGTTTGTGTTCTCTCTGTTTTTCTTTTGCCATTTGAACTGCTTTAATATGATGATCATTGAGATTTGAGGTTTTAGTTTTGTGGAGTTTGATTATTTTTACTGTTTAATGTGATTTTGTTGATCATTACTGAATTAGTTTGAGAGTTTTGCTTTGGATCGGTTTGATCTTCGGTTATTGAAGAATCGGATCCGGGAACATGTTTTGATTCCTTGTGATCGCTTTTTTTTGTTGATTTTGATGGATTCTTTTACTGCGGTTTGTTTTCCTTTTACTTGTTTGTTCTTTCTGTTTTGGATTAGGCTGATTGATAATGTTTGTAGTGAAGTAAAAGTTTTAGCTCATCCAGGTTTCCCTAATTGATAGATTTCTTAAACAAAAGGTATTAATTAATAGAGGGGGATTTTTTGAATTTTGTGTACTGCAGCTTAAGAGATGGAATCTGGAGGCTGGCACGTTGAGAAAAGAGCTTCTCTTAGAAATGACTCTTTTTCTAGAGAGGATAATGTGCCGGAAACTGGCTGTCTCTCCATCATTGTGCTTGGAGCTTCTGGAGATCTTGCTAAAAAGAAGACATTTCCAGCTCTCTTCCACCTTTTTATCCAGGTTTTTTCTTCTTCTTTGCTCTCCCTTTTGTATTGAAGCGTAGAATAAATCATAGGTTAGTTTAATATGTGTGGAATTTCTAAGACGTCTTTGACTCTTTGTGGTGGTAATTCCGTGCCGAAATTTTTAAGGATTTTCGAGTATTCATTATAAGGTGTAATTGAAGGTTTTGAGAGAGTATCTGGCAACCCGAATGAGTTTGAGGGTCATGTGATTCTCGAACGAAGAGTGTTTTAATTGTGCTCTCTATGGTTTAACTGTTTTTATTTATCGTTGTTCTTAGGGATTCCTACTATCAAATGAAGTTCACATTTTTGGTTATGCGAGGTCAAAAATTTCTGATGATGATCTAAGAGATCGCATACGCGGGTAAGATATGGAGCCTTTCTCTGGTTTTAATGCTATTGTCATTCTTTATTTGATTGAGTTAACTTACTAGAATCATTGTGTGAGATCTCGCATCGATTGGAGAGGGGAACGAGTGTCAGCGAGAACGTTGGGCCCACAGGGGTGGATTGTGAGATCCCACATTGGTTGGGGAGGATAACAAAACATTCTTTATAAGGATGTGGAAACATCTCCCTAGACGCGTTTTAAAAACTTTGAGGAAAAGTCCTGAAGGGAAAGCTAAAAAATGACCATATTTGCTAGCGGTAGGCTTGGGTTTTTAGTCATTCAGCCGTGAGCATTAGCTTCACAATCAATCACTGATGTTTTGGGCGTCTATTTATTTTTACTTCGATCGTAGTTAAGAACTCTAATTCCGCTTCGATACTTCAATGGATTGTGTTTCATGCATTTTTCCTGTTGTTATATTTTGTTTAATTTATGTCGACTTTAGCTGTCATTAGGGGTTGCTCAACATGAATAATTGTTGCAGGTATCTTGTCAAAGGCAAAACTGCCGACTCGAAGCAATTAGAAGAAGTACCCAAGTTTCTGCAGTTGGTTAGTGCTACCCTGTATATGCACGATTACTGTCTTACGATCAGTATGTACCCAATAGAATCACTCTTGCATAAATGCAATAATTTTTGCAGATCAAATATGTTAGTGGTTCGTATGATTCTGCGGAAGGTTTTCAGAAGTTGGATAAGGAAATCTCAGAGCACGAGGTTTCAAAAAATAGTATAGAGGGATCATCTCGTAGGCTGTTCTATCTTGCACTTCCTCCATCGGTATATCCATCGGTATGCAAGATGATCAAGCATTATTGTATGAATAAATGTAAGCAAGTGCAGATTATTGTCATGGTTGGCTTCTGTCCGTGTCTGGATATTGATTATTAGAGGTCATTCAATCCTTTTGTTAGCTGATCTTGGTGGATGGACCCGGATTGTTGTGGAGAAACCTTTTGGCAAGGACTTGGCATCTGCGGAGACGCTAAGTTCCCAAATCGGTGAATTGTTCGATGAACCGCAAATTTACCGTATCGATCACTATCTCGGGAAGGAATTGGTTCAAAATCTGGTAATATTCACATGAACAAGATATTATTTGTTGTCTCTGGTTTTTCAAAGCCTCATGTATTTTCTTGCATGATCTGAATTTTCAGTTGGTACTTCGTTTTGCAAACCGCTTTTTTGTGCCCCTTTGGAACCGTGACAACATTGATAATGTACAGGTGAGAATTTACGTTTTTATTGACTATTTTAATATAATCGGCCGCATTGGTTATGTACTAATCCTTTTTTCCCCACCAGATCGTGTTCAGGGAGGATTTTGGGACCGAGGGGCGTGGTGGATATTTTGATCAATACGGGTATGATCTTTTATGTTGTTGAACACTTAGACTTACTTTTAAATGAACCATAGTATCATTCCTTGTATGAAAACTTATTAATCTAAACTAGTCATTGATTCAATTTCCATTCTGCAGGATTATTCGCGATATCATTCAAAATCATCTATTACAGGTGAGAAATTGCTTTCGAGTTAAAATGTTTTTGGTTCCTAGAAAACCGAAAAATGAAATACGGTTTCATTTATCCTCTACTTGTGCTCTTAAATAATTGGTTAGACTCAGTCTCACAATATTGATTTATTGTTGCACTGCTGCACGTTTAAAAGTTATTTATTTCTTTCTGCACTCTCAGGTTCTTTGTTTGGTTGCTATGGAAAGACCTATTTCCCTCAAACCCGAGCATGTCCGAGATGAGAAAGTAAAGGTAGGAATTCCAACTAAAAGAAGTCAATTTGTATTCCTTTTTTGCGTCGACAAGTGATGTCCAGGCAGACGTGCCCTCGGCCAGAAGGCTCCGAGTAGCATTTATGATATAAAGAAAATCTTCGATATGTATATTGATACACGTTTCTCAAGTTCGTTAAGAGTGATATCGAATTTTAATCCTCTCTTTCTACTCGCTAACGCCGTACAGGTGCTTCGGTCTGTGATGCCAATTAACGACGAGGAGGTAGTTCTTGGCCAATATGAAGGTTACACGGACGATCCTACAGTTCCTGATCACTCAAATACACCAACCTTTGCAACTATGGTGCTGAGGATACATAATGAAAGATGGGAGGGTAAGAACGCGTTTCGAATTTATAATCCCTTCTTTTAGGACAACTTACGTAGTGTTCTTCGTAAAGTTAATCGTGTCATTCTTTCATATATTTCTTTTCAGGTGTCCCGTTTATAATGAAGGCAGGGAAAGCATTGAACTCGAGAAAAGCCGAGATTCGAGTTCAGTTCAAGGATGTTCCTGGTGACATTTTCAAATGTAAGGCCTCCGATCTAGAACGATATCATATTGATTAATCTCACGTATGCACGCGTATTTCAAATGTTCTTGTTTAGTTGCTCAAAATCGATCAATGTTCATGATGCAGGCAAAAAACAAGGGAGGAACGAGTTCGTGATTCGCTTGCAACCTTCGGAGGCCATGTACATGAAGCTTATGGTATGAAAAATATTCTTATCAGCTAACCTCACCATTAGTAGTGTTTATAATGCTTGAAATGGCATCTGGTGGTGCTATTAAATGGTGTGATTGTTTGACAGAATTAGAAATACTTACTCTACAGCTAAGTTACACATTTTTCTGTTTGTGGCTTAACACTTCATGCTAATAATGTCCATGACTGCCTGAAACTAGCATTTTGATTGGAATCAAATCGAGACTTTGACACTGGACGTTCCAAAAATAGGGTACTATCGGGTTGGGTGGTTCAAGATTGCCCATTTTTAATTCCAGGGTTTCTCGCTTGGTGAAGTAATCGTGTGGCACAGTAAAAGCTTTCATCAAGGGGAGAGATCTAGGGTTAGCGTCGATCACTGATAAAAAGACCACCGAGTTTTTGGTCCAGTTAGATTTGAATGTGTCACGCATATAGACCACGGGTGGCTTAGGGTTGCCAATTTTTAATTCTAGGGTTTCTCGCTTGGCGAAAGAATCGTGTGGCACGGTGAAAGGTTTCATCAAGGGTAGAGATCTAGGGTTAGTGTTGTAAAAGGACCACTGAATTTTTGGAAAGTGGTTGGTCCAGTTAGATTTGAATGTGTTATGCATATATAACGTTCCTCAATGTCGTACACCTTGGGGTCACCATATTCCTTCAAATCCCAATATCTCGACTCCGTACCTAGTTACCAACTACCTTGATTGAAAACACGTAACAACGCAACCCGGTTCACGAGTTCTACTCCTTATCTTCTTTGCTATGGACTTTGCAGGTCAAGACACCTGGACTGGAAATGTCAACTGTGCAGAGTGAATTAGACTTGTCCTATCGCCAACGTTATCAAGACGTTATAATCCCAGAGGCATACGAGCGTCTCATCCTCGACACGTAAGTCCTACCCGTTGCCGTTTATAACATTCATATACTTTACAAGGTAACAGCCATTAACGACATTACAACACTTGCAGAATAAAGGGCGACCAGCAGCATTTCGTTCGTCGAGACGAGCTAAAGGTAATGTTCAACACTAACGAATTACACATCATCTAATTCACGGACGAACCTTGCTCACCAACAGTTTTGTCGTGTCCAGGCTGCCTGGGAGATCTTCACGCCATTGCTGCACAGAATCGACAAGGGAGAGCTGAAGTCACTTCCATACAAAAAGGGGAGCCGAGGTCCGGTGAAGGCCGACGAGCTACTCGAAAAAGCTGGTTATCTTCAATCCGATGGCTACATTTGGATCCCTCCAACATTGTAGACAATGTTTATGTGCTTGTAAAATCCTGATATGCAGCAGTGCAGAGTGGAATCAAAATAAGAAATTTAGTGTGGCCAATGCTAATAATGCTAATCCTAATAATCCTATAATGCTAATAATGCTAATAATGCTAATAATGCTAATAATAATAGTTATAATAATCAAATTTCCTTCTTAGTTCTTATATTTTTAAAATTATACTAATTTAATTTTTATTTATGAAAATTATTGACAATATATATATAGTTTAAGGATATTATTGAATTTTTTTAATTAAGAGTAAAACTAAAATTCAAGGGTATTTTATATAATTTAATAAGTTAAATTATATAAAAAAATATTATTAACTAAAAATTCCAATATTACGTAAACATTTTAAAACTATATTAAAATATTATAGAAAAAGTCAACCTGATAAAATATTATTCTTTTAAATTTAATTTAAAAAAAAGTATGTGTATATATATATATATATATATATATATATATTAACCTGTTAAAATATTATTCTTTTAAATTTAATTAAAAAAAATGTATATATATATATCAACCTGGTAAAAATATTATTCTTTTAAATTTAATTAAAAAAAATGTATATATATTAAATTTGAAAGTTTAAGGATATTATTGATTTTTTTTAATTAAGAGTAAAAATAAATTCAAGTGTATTTTATATAATTTAATAAGTTAAACTATATAAAAAAAAGTATTATTAACTGAAAATTCCAATATATATATATTAAATTTGAAAGTTTAAGAATTTATTGATTTTTTTTTAATTAAGAGTAAAAATGAAAGGTTACAAAAGGGTATTTTATATAATTTAATAAGTTAAATTATATATAAAAATATTATTAACTGAAAATTCCAATATTACGTAAATATTTTAAAACTATATTAAAATATTATATAAAAAGTCAACCTTGTAAAATATTATTCTTTTAAATTTAATGCAAAAGTTTAAATTTAAATAATTATTATTATGTAACTTTTAAAATAAATATGAATATTTAAATTTAATCTATTAAGTATCAACTGTACGGCGGATAGGGATAACTAAAGCTATTTTTTTCTTTGAAAAAATAAATAAAAAATAAGAAACTAAGCCGACTTAGTAAAATAAAATAATTATATATATATAAATACGAAAAACAGAACCCTACCAGAAAGAGCCTCTCATCGTTGTTGACGGAGGAGCTGGAGGCAATGGAGAACGGCGAAATTCCTGAAGATGCTAATGAAAGTAATGAAATTCCCGTTCTTTTTGTTCGTCTTCTTCGTCGTTGGTGGATTGTTTATCTGATCAGCTCTGTTTCGTTTTGTATTATATTTTGGTTGATGTTATTTTTGTGGGGGGTTTTTGGATTTCAGATTGCCCAGGTCCTCAATCGGAGTCGGCAGGGAGATCAGACGCTTGCCAAGGATGTCCCAACCAATCAATTTGTGCTACTGCTCCTAAAGGCCCTGATCCAGGTTCTGTTTCGTCTCCATAAACCCTACGAATCTGTTTTTGAATTTGGATTAGTTTTTAGAGAGTGGTTGCTTTGTGATTATAGCTTATTGGCTTTTAGGGCTGATTGGTTTACTCTGATTAGATGGTTCTTGAGGCTAACATGAATGTCAATTGAGTCCTGTTTATGCTTGTCCGGGATGTGTTGTCCGTGGCCTGTTTTAAACCCCTTTTTTTTTTAGGGTAACTAGTTGTCAATTCTTCCTACTCAGATTACATGATTGCTTTGTGATTTTAGCTTATAGGCTTTTACGGCTGATTGGTTTACTCTGATTAAATGGTTCTTGAAGCTAACATGAATGTCAATTGAGTCCTTGTTATGCTTGTTTGGGATGTGTTGTCCATGGCCACGTACCCGTTCCAAACCTCTTTTATGAGAGTGACTAGTTGTCAATTCTTCCGACTTAGGTTATATGTTATCAAAGCCGTTGTTACCTACTCGTTTTTAGCTTATAACGTTGCTTTCTTTACAATTGTTTTCAACGTATTTCCTCGCTCACGTTTTCCAAAATATTTCTCTCAAATATGACCCGAGACTCTCCCTGGTAGAATTGGTCGGAATTATTTGGTTAGAAAGAAATAGGAGAGTGTAGGAGGCCTTTGGGTAAAATCGTTACATACATTGAAAAATACTGACAATGGACATGTGATTCTTTTCATTCCGTGTAGCCATGTCTTGCTTGTCTTTCCCGATGATGTATTTACCACGAATGAGATTGTGAGAACCCCACGTCAGTTGAGGAGGAGAACGAATCATTCTTTATAAGGGTGTGGAAACCTTTTCCTACTAGACACGTTTCAAAAACTTTGAGAGAAAGCCCGAAAGGGAAAGTCCAAAGGAACAATATCGGCTAGTGTTGGGCTTTACCCTAGTGGATAATGCGTCATTCCGTTCACGAATTTTGATTCCTATTCCCAATGACCAATATTAACACCATCTCATTCCGTTCACAAACTGTTTGGTTTTCTAAACCCTACATATGAATACGTTAATAGAATCTATTATCTGTCTGTGTGTTTATGTTCTGTTGACCATTTCTGCCACTCCTGTTTTCAGACCTGGTTTCGATAGCTGAACGAATGGCAACGGTTAAGCACAAGATTCTAGTTCTATCAGGGAAGGGCGGGGTTGGAAAGAGCACGTTCTCAGCCCAGCTTTCATTTGCGCTCGCTGCCATGGACTTCCAGGTCGGTCTCATGGACATCGATATATGTGGCCCAAGTATACCAAAGATGCTAGGCCTAGAAGGTCAAGATGTGCATCAGAGCAACCTTGGATGGTCCCCTGTTTACATAGAGTCCAACCTTGGAGTTATGTCAATAGGATTCATGCTCCCTAACCCTGACGACGCTGTCATTTGGAGAGGCCCTCGAAAAAACGGGCTCATTAAGCAGTTTCTAAAGGACGTGTATTGGGGAGAACTCGACTTTCTGATTGTCGACGCCCCACCAGGCACTTCAGATGAACACATTTCAATCGTACAATGTCTCGAAGCTACTGGAATCGATGGCGCAATCATAGTCACCACCCCACAACAAGTTTCTCTCATCGACGTACGCAAAGAAGTGAGTTTCTGCAAAAAAGTCGGCGTCAAAGTCCTCGGTGTCGTAGAGAACATGAGTGGCTTGACTCAACCACTGTTAGATCTGAAGTTTCTAAAGACAACTGAGACAGAGGAGCAGGTAGACGTAACAGAATGGGCAGCAGAGTACATCCGAGAAAAAGCGCCCGAGCTGCTTAACTTGATTACTTGCAGCGAAGTGTTCGATAGCAGTGGGGGTGGGGCTGCAAAAATGTGTAGGGACATGGGGGTGCCATTTCTAGGGAAGGTGCCATTGGATCCACAACTTTGTAAGGCAGCAGAAGAAGGAAGGTCCTGCTTTGGTGACCAGAAATGTAGGGTAAGTGCCCCAGCACTGAAGAAGATCATAGAGAACTTGCTAGAAAGCCAAGGGTTTTCAACAATGTCAATAGACGATAAGGCTTAGAACAGAGTTAAAAGAGGTAAATCTGAACATTTTTGAGTAATTTAAGGTTGTTGTGCTATTATTCTATACACAATTTGCTTCCATTCAAGTTTACAACTCATGTTTGTTTCTCTTTGTAATGTATCTTATATGAAGGTTTGATCTCCAACCCGAAATTTCTTGAACTCGATAACTATATACGTAGGTATCTCGTAGGACTTTTGACTTGGATGAAATGACTCTAAAGGACTATACGTCACAAGGAAGTGTTTGTAATATTCGAAAGATTCTATAGTTTCTCTCTCTATATCCTTGACAAGATAATATACATCTTTAACAAACAGACGGTAAGGGACGGACGATGAAAGATAACTTGTTACGAACTCTCTATCTGGCAGAAAGAAACTGAACTCTAAAAAGAATGGATTTGATTTTAAGTTGGAGAGGGGAACGAAACATTACTTATAAGGGTTTGGAAACCAACCCGATAGATGCTTTTAAAATGGGTTTGGAAACCAACCCAATAGATGCTTTTAAAATTGTGAGGCTGACTATACGTAATGGGCTCGTGGCCTCGGGCTGTTATAGGACTCCACACATAATAATTCATATCACGAAATCAGAGCACGTGATTGATATCCTCAACATCCCTTCAACAAAGAAACTATTCAAGGTATCAACTCTTTCGTGCAAAATTATCAAGTAAAGAAACTTAATCTCGTAAGATTTTCGTCAATAATTGAGAAAGTGTGGTATATGGTTTTCGTCAATAATAATTTTTTTTATAAAGGTAAAAGGTGTTAATGCTATTTTTTTTTTTTTGGATATTTTTTTAAACAAATGTATTTTTTTTAAATTTAAAAATAAAGTTAAAGAATATTAATAAATAAATAAAAAAGTTTAAAAGACATATTTGAAATACTATTAAAAATTTAAGGGTGTTTTTAAAATAAAATATCAATGATTTCGTTCTAACGATATTTTTTAGACTTTTTTTTAAAAAAAATTTAGGGATATTATTTTCAGACAAAATAAAAAGTTTATGAATTTTTTTTATAATTAATTTTTCCAAATTTACATCTAAGTTGTTTAAAATGCAACCGAAAATTAATAAATTTATCGAACATAAAATAAAAAATAAAAAATAAACATTAAACATTAAAAAAAAAAAACCTAATTTAACAAAATTAAAAGAAAGAGAGAGAGAAGAGTCCGTAGTCGAAGCCCTAAGTTCTAACTGTGTGTCAGGTGCACCTCTTTTTCTCCATTGCCGAACTCCGATTCTCATTCTCAATCTCCGCCATTTCTGTTGCTTTCTTCTCCGTCAACTACAGGTATCTTCCTCGTCCTCCTCCTTATTATCATCTTGTTCACTGTATTTCTTTCGTAATCATGTTTAGAACGAAACATCTTTCGTAATGTGAGAATTTGGACTTACATGGCTGTCCTTTTGATGTGTGGAGCTTCCTAATCTTGGCTGTTTATCACTAATATTATGAGGACTCAACGAATTTGAATTGTGTTGGTTCATCTTTTCCGGATTTCTTAGGTTAAATTTCTTTTTGGTTCTAGGAATTAGTTTAACATAAAAACAGATTTTGATTTTCCTAATGTTAATCACCTTTAGACTCCAAAAACTTGAATTATTAGGCTGCAGATTCTCGAACTCCGCTTCGCGTTTCAATATCTGTTCGATTTACCTTGCCAAACTTGTAGGCTTATTAATATGATTTTGAAGGAAAATGACAATCCAAAAACTTGAATTATTGAGTATGTCTGTTTGATGATAATGGTATTATGAGTTGCAGAAGGAAAAATGGCTATGAGCCAAATTAGATTGGTTAGAAGAAGCCTTCTGAATACCAAAGATCTGATAAAACTGACAAATGTGCGAACATTTGCTGCTGGGGGCAAAAAGAAGGGTTCTAAAGGAGGGGGTGCGGCTACTGATGCTCCTAAAGCATCAATTCTAAGTAAAGAGGTAAAATCTACCACTGTAGTTGGTGCCAATATTCTTAAGGAAGGTGCAGATCCAAAAGTCATGGCAGACTCGGAGTACCCTGATTGGCTGTGGCGTTTGATCGATAAGCGTCCAGCTCTTAGTGAATTACAAAGGAAGGATGCCAAAACGCTTCCCTATGAGGATCTCAAGCGCTTTGTTAAGTTGGATACTCGAGCAAGGATTAAGGAAAACAACTCTAGTAAGGCGAAGAATTGATGTAAGAATCTAACCCAAGCTTTGTTCTTATTGTTTCTTTTATTAGTTTTTTGCAGCTCTTTCTTCCGTAAAAATCGTATGATTAAGGCTAAATTACAAGTTTAGTCTCTTGAATTTCGTGGTTGTTTCAATTAGATCTCTCAGCTTTTATAAGTATTTGAATCTTGACATATCCAGCGTGTTAAAAACTTCATGATTTACTAGAAACTTTGCTCAACTTGTAATTTTTCGTTTACAACCGCATCCCGGTTCACGACTTGGAACACTGGATTAGTTATATGCTTGTCATAAAATCATGATAAGGAGATGTAGAATATGAAAGGATTATCTATGAATAGCTAACAAGTCTCGTGTGTGATCCGTCTTGCTATCACCTTTTCTCCCTTTTCGACATTGCTGCATTCGAAGTCTATTTGATGTCTACTTTCTGTTAATTTCTGCAAGCATATTCAAACCCGACTAGCTCGACGCAAGTCGATAGAATTGATAAGTACTAACAAATCTTGTTACAAACCTTCTCCTTTTGCAGAACATATCAGTTAAAAGTCGAGTCAATCTCCATGTGGAAGGAAGAACAAGCAAAAGCTTACACAACAAGGGCAAAGCATTTTAGATCTGTAAGCTATCATCTTATTCTCAAAAAGTGCTTAACTTCTGATTCACTACTCATTTTTTTTTTTTTTTTTCATAATCAAAATCCTTTGAATTGTCAAAATTTTGAATATGAATAGAACACTCTATGCCCACTAGATTCTTTTTATCTTTCACATCTAGTCAACTTTCTTGTCCCAAAAGGATGCTTTTGGAATCAACCGATCCCGAAATCGGTTTTCTTGACGAGTAACCAAGCGTTCGATGAAAAAAACAAAAAGAATCCCATTAGCTACGAGGAATTGGTCGGAGTAAAATCTTTAGTGACATAAACATCTGTTTGTTTTTTTTTGTTTTTTTTTTGTTTTTTTGTTTACGATACATGTTACCTTAATGATTAAAATCTTACAAAGTTTAAATATCAAACTATCATAAGTCACAATGCAACATTAATATTGGTTACAAACGTCAAATATTGTAACGGTCTGACTCACCGCCAGCAGATATTGTTCTCTTTGGGTTTCCCCTCAAGGTTTTAAAACGCATCTACTAGAGTAAGGTTTCCACACCATTTCACCCTTGGTGTTTTGTTCTCCTTTCCAACCAATGTGAGATATCACAATCCACCCCTTTGAGGTCCAGCGTCCTTTCACACTCATTCCTTTCTCCAGTTGATGTGAGATCTTTGCCAAATCCACCATCTTTGGAGCCTAGCGTCCTTACTGGCACACCGCCTTGTGTCTACCCCTTCAGAGAAGCCTGACACATCGTCGGCTCTGATACCATATGTAACAACTCAAAATAAATAAATAAATAAACAAATAAAAATTATTCATAATATTCATAATAATAGCCCAAAAATAAAGGTAGAGTTGGGTTGGTTGGGTTAACTTGGGGGGGGGGGGGG